TGTAGAGGGAGCTAGGAGAGTCCAAATGGGGTGCGGTTTGCGGCCACGCAATCGTGATCGAACGACCGAGAGGATGGAGGAGGTTTAAGTGGGTTTTGGGCCACTTTGGAGGGGTGTTGGGCTGCAACACACACGAGGCCTTTTCGGTCCCTCGGTTAACCGTTGGAGTATCAAACGAAGTTCAAATGGCACGAAACTTGACAGACGGTCTACCAGTAGTAAACCAAGGTCGCATGACAAGTCTCGGTCCAATCCAAAAATGTTTAACACCCGCACACGAAAAGAGGTAGAAAGGGACACCGGGTGACATAGGAGCGCCGGATTGCAAAACGGACAACGGGGAAAATGCTCGGATGCATGAGACGAACATGAATGCAAAAGAAATGCACATGATGACATGGTATGAGATGCATGACACGCAAGTAATGACATGGTAACAACAGCGAATAACTGGAGAACACCTGACACATCGGTCTCAGGGCGTTACATGCATGAGGGGAAAGGAGAGCCCTGCCGCAGCCCATTGCAACCAGGCTTCGCCCGGCGGCGTGACTTAGGAGGGTGGGGGGTGGAGAGGGCTGCCCGCCCAGCCACCGCGTGGTGGTGGCACGGACGAGCAAGAGGAGGTCGCATTTTTTCATCCTCCACTGAAACCTTCCACATCATGGTACATACACCTACAGGCTACAACTAAGCTATATTAGACAGGCAGGGATGCTAGCACCTGACCTCCATCCGCAGATGATATTCTCAGTATGCAGTTTGCATTATTATTCTTTTGAATCAGGAAGACTTCTTTTAGTGTCATAAATTCTGATGATATTCTATATCAGAAGTTAAACTGTAATTGTATGGACCATCCCATCAATCAATGTATAAACACAGTAAACTACTTTCAGTATATTTAACTTTTCCAAGCCAGAGCATGACTAATTAGGTTAGGCGTACTTTAGCTTCAGGATAGAAGTTGGGTAGCAAATACGTGTGTTTTTCCATGACAAACCTCTGTGTGAAGTTTTCTCGTAGGCATATATTGTCCAGGACCACAGATGTCAGATAACACAATCGCAACAGATGACATGGCTTCCTTCTCTTCCAATTGAAGGATGTGCTGGTTGTCCACATCCCGGTCACCCCTCAACCTTATTTCTGGTCTATTGTCTGCACACACAAAAAGAAGCAAGTTCAGGTCAGATCAAACAAATATTTCCCTGCACATGGTAAAAGATAATGAATTTGGACTTTCACTGGACAGAACTCCAAAGGTCCATAGCTGGAAGTTTGGAAACAAGAACAAAGGTCACTAACAGCTTCTAAAACTTGCATCATACCATTTCCTAATTCATAATTCTTCATAGAATGTCGGCTGCTTCAGTGATAGAAATATCATAGATAATGTACTTAATTTCTCCCTAGAAACTAAGATTGGAAGATGTGAAAGGCATTCAGATTGAAGCATCTTGGTGTGCATCTTTCGATGTGCGAATATAACTGCATCTCTGCTACTCTTTTTCTCCTATAAAAGGTAAAAACATAAGAGATGCAGTTATGTTCACACATCATGATGTGCCAATTCGGATATAAAGCATCATGTTCTTACATAACACCACTTGCAATAGCAACTAATAATGTATGTGTACTTGCAGTGAACATATGGTGAGAGTTGCTTAAGGGATATTTCCGCGACATTACAGCTGTGTTATAATGTGCATATCTATCTCTAATATGTAATGTTGCAATATCAACATCATCTTACTTTGTAGCCATCAGTTGCAACATGCAAATAACGCGTACAGCCAGATTGAGTGACTGAACAACCAAAATCATCATCAGCTCTACATATTTTTTAGAAGAGAAACAAGACGACAAGGAAGGGAAAGTATACACAGTAAAAATGCAGAGCAAGGATTATGTATCACCTTCGCCGATTGTTCCTATTGGTTCAACATTGATTCTGTGCCCACCATAGATGTCCAAATCTCTGGGAGACTTTTCGGTTCTCTTCAGCTTGCCCTTCATTCCACTTGCACTGACACCATTCCCAACGTCATCAGTCATCACTATCCTGGCCATAATCACCTTCAGGGAGGCGGTCATGGAAATCGGACACACGAGGGTGCCCTGGCTGCACATACGATGGAAGTGCGATATGTGACGGAATAAAAGGGGCTTGTCGAGCAGCGGCAAGCGAGGCAAAGATAGACCTCGTGGGCAGGAGGAAGTAAAACTTCTTGTCCCCAATCTGAAGGAGGTCCTGCGAGTCAAGCTTAACAGGAGGATTCCAAGGGAGATGCAGGACACCCTCAACAAGGCAGCCGTTCTTGCCGATGACCTCGAGCGCGAAGCGGCAGTGCTGGAAGTCGTAGAATATCCACGCGTGGTGGCGCGAGATGTTCATCCCCCCACCAAGGCTGGAGAGATCGACATCCACAGTCGACTTCTTGCTGTTGCGGCCCAGCATGATCGAGTAGGTCTGCATGTAGTACTCGAAATCCTCACCCTGCAGCTTGGCGAACCCTGCCTCCACCTCACCATCACCGGCGGGCATTGCACAAGCACCCTCAACATGAGGCATATTGGCTTCAGTTGAATCCCCAATTTTTCGGCAAGATTAGCTGTGCCCCCCACCTCAGACCGATCAACCTAATCAAACAATGGATAGGAGGAACAGGTTAATTAATAGGGCACCAAGCGGCGACCAATCAATGAAAAAAATGCTCATGCATAACGCTGAGACAAGCAGGGTGCAGTGAGATACAATGGGTATATGCAACCTCCATCCTGGCAGGGTCCGAAACAAGTTGAAAACAGCTGCCTTATATATGCAACCTATTCATGATAGCAGTGATAAATTGAAATCTCAAATGAGCTACAATACAGAATCCAAGTAAATAGTTTGAAGCTCTGTTGTGCTGTGGTGTGCTACAATAGTTTGAAGTTCCCTAAATTTTCAGTCATGCCAAGTGATATTTCAGCTGTAGTGCACCAGCCCTCTTACCGGAGCTTCGTCAGCGGAGCCTGCCACCGCCTCCGCTCTCCGGCGTCGCCGTCGCGGGGAAGAATGGATGTAGGACCCGTTTCCGATTCTGCGCGGCTCCCTCCTACACTCCGGTCGCCGGCGCTGCTCCTCTCCCGTCCCCGGCGCCAAGAAAGACCTGTCCCAGGCCCGGCAGGACACTCCGCCGCGGCGCGACTGAGGGACTCCCCTGCCGGCTGGAGAAGAAGCCGGCGGCGGCGGCTCCGATCTGGTTGGGTTCGAAGACTGAGCACGGCCACTGGAGACGTGCGGAAGGCAGTGGCTGGCTGCTACATCAAAGTTCGGCCCATCAGGCTATCTGCTGCCTACACTACATACATGAATGTTCACAGAACATGTGTCCATAAACCCTAAAAAATTCAGATCCAACTTCAAATTGCAGAATGAGAAGGAAAAAAGACAAAATCAGCATGAATAGCGTCAATAAAAATAAAAACATGAATAGTGTGAAGACTACACTATTTACAATAGATTTGTCTTTTTTGTTTCTCAATGTGTACATCGAATTTGGATCTAAAGTTTTGAGGGTTTGTATATACATATGTTGTGAATATCCATGATTTTTTTGGATTTTTTTGAAACATTTTTTTTCCAAATTGGTATCATGTGAACATCTAAGTATTGGTATCACCTGATGTTTTCCCGTACACTATATACACAACTGATGACAAAAAAAAGGGCTAACGCACACTTCATCGCGCCGTTCTTCACACGTGGGACTAATTTATTTTTTCTTGTGCAAGTTGTTGCGGTCAGTTGTTTCATTTTGATTTTATCTGCGTTGACTAGGTTTTAACTATGTTATGGCGGTGTTTATTCTTTTTTCATTTGTTGTACCGGGGTGCTGTTGAAGATGATATTTGTTCTGAAATGATAGCCGAGTTGTTCGGCATGTGGTGGTGGCATCCTTATACATTTTGACCTCGTCATCGGCCCGGCGTGTGAGCCCCTTGGGGCTACTATTCCACGCTGAAAAACCATGGAATTGTTGTTATAACGTTCACATGGGCCAGCCCACAAACCTCTTGCTCGCTTAGCATTTTTTCGATCGCTCCATTGCTATATTATAAAAAGGCTGGGAATCCTTTTTAAAAAAAATTCATTAAATCAAAAGATGTTCATGGATTTTTTAAAAACTTTTATTTTTAAAATGTTGCATACTAGAAAAAACATGATTTTTCAGAAAATATTTGAGAATTAAAAAACATGGATTTCAGAAAACCAAATCTGAAATAAAGTTCACAAACTTTAAAATTATTTATAAACTTTAAAAACATTAATGTATTTAAAAAATGTTCAAGAATTTTAAAAAATATTCAAGGATTTTAAAAGTGTTCAGAAGTTTTTAAAATGTTCACAATTTTCAAGAGATGTTCATGAATTAAAATATGAAAAAAAATTAAAATAAAAAAAGCAACACTTCTTTTGGCACGGGCAGCAGCATGCAAGGGCCACTGGTTTTTGAGGCAACCGTAATGACAGTGAACCAATGATTTGTACAAAAATGTCTGACATCTTGAGTGAAATCAAAGAGCAACAACATGCCCTCTTACACCCATTCATACTCCACAAATCTGAATTTCACATACAACTATAAATTTCTGTGTACAGGGAAAAAATGAGTACAGAGTACAAGTCTCATCCTTGGACCAACAGTCCAACACTAATCAGTTTACCTAGATTTTTAGTTGTTGTACAAGCTAAAAAGCTCCGTCCATGTGAAGGTAAATCAGTCAAAGGCCAAGAACAAGAGCACAGCATATAGCATACATGGCGCTGGCGGGCACTGCACATCCCTCTTGATCTTACTAACCGCGTCCTCGAGTTTTGCTTCCAGCTCGATCTCACCTTATAGAGTTGGAGGCCAGGATCAGCTGCTGCAGGACCACCTCGGGCCTCCCGATGGCCCTGGTCAGCTGCCTTCGAACACTCGGGTCATCTTCTGTCGAGAGATCTGACAGCCCTAACAATCCCCTGCGCGAAGAAGCAAAGGTCAGCAACTTCAGACCCAAGAGCAAAACGGCCACACATTAGTTGCTTTAGTATGCGAAGTGACAAGGTTGTATGCTACCAGCTGAATGAAACGAATACATGCTTTCAGTTAGTTCATAATAAAACAGTTGTTGAAAGTAACAGAACTGGAGTGCAAAACTCATAAGGAAGTAGCAGCAGCTACGATCACCCTTATGATCTGAAGTACCAATAGGGAGGACTTTAACTGCATAACATCATTTTTGCAATGACTCTAAACGTCTAATACCATTCCCATCTTATGTACTGAACTACTGAACTTGCCAAATGTAGAAACATATGCTCAACATCCTCATTAACCTGACCGGTTGAGACACCATCAATTGGGCACTTCAGTAGAGCATATACTTCTTAATATATCATGAAAATTCGATAGCTTATAAAAAAATTTGGACTCTACATTTTGAACGGATTCAGGTGCACTATCACTTATAAAAGCATGCAGAAGGGGATGAGATGAATTTTCTGAACATATTGAATATACCAAAACTGAGCTTAAAGCGCATGTGAAATGCTGATAAGCCAGTGGATGAGCTATAAAACTCTGTCGGGCACAAGGGCACTACCCATAGATACATGACCATGGCCACTACCATAGATACATGACCACTTCTTATAATGCTATAAACATCACTAACCACACTGCCAAAGAAAATGTAACTTCCCAATACATCTTCCACATGTTACTAAACACATCAGACATTCCAACAACGTATAAGAGTTCCCCCTTTTATGGAATTGGACTGCTCTTGGGTTATCTACTGCTTAACCATACAAAGCTCTGCAGGTGTTCGCAGCAGGGAGATCTACCAATCAGTAGGAATTTCCACTACCTAAGTTTGTTCTTCCATCTAATTTCAGGAGTAGGCTACTAAGACTTGTCATATTCATATCTGTATTTTGAATAATTATTTACAGCTTCAAGCTCTGGGACCTGATCACAAATTAGAGAATCTAATTGAAGACATTTTCTGGAAAACAGTCACAAATCTTAGTTGTTTATTTGCATCTGTCTCACTTCAATTATCTTAAATCAGAAGGATATAAGGTATGCGAGTAATATTTACAGCAGGGATATACAGTTTTTTGCTTAACTGTCTGACAGGCTTAAAAAAGCAACAAAAAAAACCACTTGAGTAGGAGAACATTGTTATTGAGGATATAGGTATGAAAAGTACTCCCTCCGTTCCAAAATAGATGACTCAACTTTGTACAAAGTTAGTACAAAGTTGGGTCATCTATTTTGGAACGGAGGGATTAGTACTTACAAGATCTATAGTTTCTTCATACATGGAAAATGAAAGGGGTACAGGTTGTGTACCTTCAATTTGTATAGTGAAATGAACAAAGGGTCTTAAGATCTAATTTACATGACTGCAGCACACCAAAGTTTACACATTTGAATTGCTAAGCTCAATATCTTGCAATATCTATATCCTCAGTGTTTTTTATTGAAATGAGAAGAGGTTTACACACCAAAGTTCTTAGGATATCTTGCAATACACTTCTGCAAACTTCAGGGTTTTTTATTTAAATGAAAAGAGGTTCTTAATATCCAACATACATGACTGCAACATCTAGTCTTATAGGAAGAGAAATAACTGAAAGTGCATACCTTCCTATATTACAGAGGTCATACTCAGTGACGATATTAAAGATATCAAACACATGGGGATCATACCTCTTGATCATGTCCTATGTTCAGTGCTGGGAATATAGGCGGCCAGATCGTCATAACAGGAGAGATGCGTACAGCCACACTTGTACACTCATGTTCATCTGCCATCCTCTGATACACCATCTTAACCACCCTGCTACTGGGTTGAACATAAAAGATAACACCGCTTGATGGATGATCCAAGAACACAAAGTCAGCATTGTCTCCGACGGCAGCAACATTAAGATATTCACAAGGCACCCAACTGTCACCCGCAAGACGTGTGCATGCTTCGAGAACAGAAAACGTGTCCACCAAGAGCCAACCGCCTGCACCATGGTTGTCACCTGTCATCCGATGAAGCCACACGCTGAGCTGAAACCGGTCCGCAGTGACAAGATAGATCCCGGAACCCTCCGCGGATGAGAGCATGTAATTGTACCGCACTCCAGCTGGTAGCTGTAGTATCACGAACGTTGCCGTGGCCAAATCTAGACCCAGGGTGTACCCAAAGCCGGTCACCACGAAGACCTTGCCATGGACGGGTGGTAGCATTTTTGCAAAGAAGGTTGCAGCATACTGGAGCTCTATCTCTGTCATGGCGGTGGTAGGGACGCCCCATCCGCCGGATCCCAGCACGTACACCTCCGCACGGACTTCTCGCTGGACCTTCCACAGATTCACCAAGGTGATGCCGTCGCGCCCCCCATCCTCGGGCAGGAAAATCTGAGTGAATGCCCCCTGGGTGGGCTCCTGCGGGTGACGGCGGGTCGGCGGGATCGGTGGGAGGGCCGCTTCGGGCTCCCCGGAGAGCAGCGGCGCGAGGACGGAGTGCTTGAATGTTCCCTTGCGGAGGGACTCGACGATGAGGCGGCCGTTCCGGCAGTGCTCGATGCGCTGGCCTCCGCGGGCGAAGGCGTGGGCGCAGGAGGAGGCCGCGCGGCGCGAGAGGGCGGCGAGCTCCGGGGGCTGCGGGAGAGGCACGAACTTGAACGGTCTCACCGAGTAGCCGGCGCAGACGCCGAGGACGCGGGGCGGGTTGCGCTCGCGGAAGCGGCGGAGGAAGGCCGGGTCGGAGGCGTGGTGGAGCCACCCCTTGGAGACGAGGGCGGCGCGGACGAGGAAGTTGGGGAAGCCGAGGCGGATGAGGATCTCGCGGAGGAGGTCGTCGTCGCCGAGGACCGACGCCGCCGATGCGGCCGCGGCCGCCGCCGGAGCCCGCCCGTCGCCGTCCATATTTTTGGGGATTTTCAGACGGAGAGGGATTTCGTCGCAGATCTGGTGACTCTGCAGAGTCGCCCTCTGCCGTCCATACACGCTGCAGAACTTTAGCCCACCACATCTGCCGTTCAATCCAGATCTGATGGCAGAGATGAGGCGAAGGCAAAAAAAATCAGGACTTGTTTTTTTAGAGCAAGCAAATTGCATATCGTAAATTTTTTATTTTTTTAAGGCATAGGGTTCAGGCAAGCTCCCACCACAGCCGATGAGAAGCAAACCTACTCAGGGCCAGTTCTTTTGGGCAATTCTCCCAGAATTGACCCCCTCACCAGTTTCTCCCAGAATTGCCACTTAATATTTTTTTACAATTCCTAGCTAGTTAAGGTCTAATTAGCTAGGAATTGTAAAAAAATATTAAGTGGCAATTCTGGGAGAAGCTGGGGAGGGGGTCAATTCTGGAAGAATTGCTCAAAAGAACTGGCCCTCAAACTTAAGCACACACAAATACAACTCCAACGCATCAAAGAATGTCCCAACCAGACCAACAAAAATGTGTCTCAACCAACTCCAGCTCACCTTCAAAGAGCAACAACTCTAAACGAACTATCCTTTCCGACGCACCAACCACCCTGATTGTCTAAAAGAGTTGACGGGTGGGTCTCGGGACTAAGACAGCTCCGAGAAAGTCATCGTCTTGAACTCACCCGCAATGACGTCCCTAGCACCCCTCACAAGCAATCTAGAACAACGGCAGGCACCAAAGGAATGCAACATAGAACCTCCAACTCGTGTCTCCATAAATAATGCTCCCAATGGAGGAACGACATCGAGGACGCCACCATTGTCGATCTGAAACTAAACCTGGGCTTTCACGCGGAGACAACCAACCAAGTGAGAGAGACAGAGACACACCACATCGGAACCTTCGTTGAGGGGACGACACCAACAAGCATCGTCGTCGTTGGCACCAACCGAAGACGGGTAGGACGTTCGTCTAAATCGTCGTACACATGCATCCCTGCCCACCGGAAATCGAGCACGCCATCCATGTTGGTTCGCTCTGCCGCCATCGCAACACCTCACCAATGAAGCCACATTGTCACGCGCCACCAACACCACCGTCGAAAATGGCAAACACCTCCATGTTGAGTTGTTGGCGTTACCACCTGGACCACCATGGTGTTCGGTGGTCGCCGAGGCCCAACTTCACCAAGACTGTCGGTAGCCACGGACCAAGCCATACCGAGTAGATCCAAATCCAAACTAGGCAAGCCTAGGACCCCTTACCGATCACTATCGTCGCTGAAACTTCATTACACCTTGCTGGTAAGCTCTCCAGCGGAAGGGAGTCACACCACCACCAGACGCGGAGCCACTGCTCCGGTCGACGCCCATCCAAACCCACCCGCAGCAAGACGGATCTGGGCGGAGGAGGCGTGACTTAGGTGGGTGCAGCCACTACTTTCCTTTCCACGAAGGAGCTACAACTTGGCAAGAAAACCCAGTTCAGGAGACGATGATATGCTATGCCATCATGACTTCGACAGCGTTTCAACAAACATGGGTAAAAAAAATTCCAATGAGAACTGCTAAAATGCAGCGCGCGCGCACCGCTCCAGCAGCGCGCGCGACTCGCCGGGGCATTGCATATATGACATTTTGGACACAAAATGAAGTTGAAACATTCAAAATGCGATGAACATGACATATAAAATTTCACACAAACAAGTTGATGAAGAAAAGTTCATGCCCACAAGTTCAAAATCATGCCCACAAGTTCATCCAACCAAGTTCAAAATGCAAATCAAGTTCAAGACACAAATGAAAGACACATCATTCCTCGTCCTCGTCTTCGTCCTCGTCCTCGGAAGACGATTCTTCCGCCTCCGAAGATGAATCTTCCTCCCTCTCCTCATCGCGCACCGCATCACGTGAAGCTCCGGTGGTGTTGGCAAGATTTTCAACGGCATCTTCGTGGGAATGTGTGTGAGGAGGCACATCGAAAGACATTCCGCCCATGGCGGCCGGAGGTGCACCATGCCTTCAATGAGAGAAGCAAAACTCATGCCTCCCACGGTGGCCATAGCGTCGGGGGGTGCTCCAAAGCCACCCATGCCTCCCATGGTGGCCATAGCGTCGGGGCGTGCTCCAAAGCCACCCATGCCTCCCATGGTGGCCATAGCATCGGGGGGTGCTCCAAAGCCACCCATGCCTCGCATGGCACCTAAACCGCCCACGGTACCTCCGAAGTCACCCATGCACCCATGGCGCCGAGGCCACCGCCACCCATTGCACGAACCATGGCTCTTTTTTGGATCAAGACTTCTTCACGGGCAAGATTGACATACTCCTTTTGCGCCTCATTGAGGTTAGATGTGTCCAAGAAAAACAAGTGCTTCTCCCATTCCAACAATCTAGTTCGCTCCTTATTGCTCACCTTCCTCTCCTCCAAAGCCACCTTCCTCTCCCCGGCCGCCACCCTCCTCTCATCGGCCGCCAACCTCCTCTCCTCGGCCGCGCGCGGCATCTTGGTTCCTTACCATTGTCCTCACCTCGTTGGCTTCTTTTCTTGCCTTCACAATAGCTTCCATAGCATTTTTTAGCTTATCATCTCCTTTCCTCTTCTTCTTTTCAGTTTTGTCTTTCTTGCACCCATCCGGTCGCTTTGGCTTCGAGTATGAAACCGAGTTGGGTGTGGGGCTTCTCTTGTCATCATCATTTGATGCATCATCCTCCTCATCATCATCCAACTTAATTGTTCGCTTGCATTTGTTGCTCAAATGCAAATCATCCAAATCTTCACGCTTCTTCCACTACAAAAAAAAATACACTTCCGTGATGATACGTGTTTGTCATAGTAGGTCACATTTTTTGTCATGCATGTACATCCATGACAAATTTATGACAGAATCGAGATAGTCATACCTGTGCTGTCATAGAAGTGTTCCATGACATTACCAAAAATATCATCACGGAAGTGTCCACTTCTATGACGATAAATCGTGCGTCACAGAAGTGCTTTCGTCAAGGGTGACCGACACGTGGCATCCACCGTAACGGAACGTCGTTAAGCTATCGGGTCGGGTTTTGGATCCGATAACCCGTTAACAGCCCCGACCAATGGGGATTTTCCACGTGTAAAATCATTATTGGCTGGAGGAAACACGTGTCGGCTCACCGTTGGGACAGATGTCATCCGCTCATTGGACCGAAGGCGCCTATGATACGGCGACACGTGGCACGGCCCAACAGAGGCTCATTCCTGTGAAAAGGCCGGCCCGTTTGACTTGGTCAAAAGGTGGCGGGCCGGCCAACGGAAAGCCTGTTAACGGCCTATTCGCATATAGCCCATTTACAACCCGCTAACCCAGGGCCCGTTATGCTCTATCTGAATTAGGCCCAGTAGCGTCATCTGGGCCGTCCAATATGATTCAGCCCATTTTAACTTCCAGCCCATGTGTGGCCCATGACTTCTTTCGGCCCATATGAGGACCTTTGTAACTCTTGGCCCATTAACGGCCCGTGGTGAAACTGGCCCATAATGAACAACGTATCACTTTATACCCATTAACGGCCCGTTATTCTATTGGGCTGTTTCCAGCCCAAGTTATCTTTCGGCCTTCTCAGGGCCCATTGATTCTTGGGCTCATTTGCAGCATTCGGTTACATACGGCCCGTTACTGTCATTTTCTGCTTGTGGGCCAAATTCAGCCCGTCATTACAGTCGGCCCATTTGCGGACCGTTAATACGTTGGGCCGTTTTCATGTCAAAAAAATCCGTTGGGCTGTTTTCATAGAGTTATCAAATACGGCCTATTAACGGCCCGTTATGGTCCATGAATAGTACTGCCCATGATTGGCGAATTGATGATACGCCCCGTAGAAGGCCCATGGATCCTAGGGCCCGTATGAGGCCCATGGATAGTACGGCACGTAGAAGGCCCATGGACCCTACGGCCCGTAGAAGGCCCATGGACCCTACAGCCCGTAGAAGGCCCATGGACCCTACGGCCCGTAGAAGGCCCATGGACCCTAAGGCCCGTATAGAAGGCCGATGGATCCTACGGCCGGACGAAGGCCCATGGATCATACGACCTGCAGGAGGCCCATGGTTACAACAGTCCGTGTGTTGCCATGATTATTTTGGCCTAGTTACCAAAAATAGGCTATTGTGGCCACTAGAAAAAAACAGAAAAAGAACTGACTACAAGCAAACAACTAAACAAGATAATAAGGAAATAAATAAGCAAGCAATTAACGCTAGCCTATTACCACTATTACACATGTTACATCCACTGGGCATCAAAGTTCGCCACCAGTGCAAATATAGGGAAAAAAGCAGCACATTACATACACTCACCGTCAAAATTGGCCACCAGTGCAAATAAACGCGGCAGCAAAACAAGAGCATAATTGAAACAACTTCAGAAGAGCTCAATAAACGTTATCCCGGGTATCCATCATGCTGGCAATAAGCTTAGCAAGCTGATTAGCTTTGTCCTATTTGGCGCTAAAATCCTCCAACGCTTGCTGTTGCACCAGAAAGTATGCATCTGAATGCTCCAGGGACTTCCATAGTCCTTCCGCTTCTTGTCGCAGCACAGCTGATCGATGTCTTTCAGCTTGTAGTTGAGACTCAAGAAACCGAACTAATTCAGACAGTGAGTTTGAATAGCTTGTGCAAGCGGTAGTGGCCAGTTACTCGAACACTAAACCAAGACAGGACTTTGGGGTTGTCTCACTGTCTTCAAGATAGTCTTCCTTAGCTGTTTTATCAGCTTTGTTGGAGACCAACAAGGATGTGTCACTATCCTGAACCTTATCTGCATTACTTCCTGAAAGTGCGTTATATCGACTAGAGGGGGTGAATAGGCGATTTTTATGAAAGTCTTCAACACGTGGAAGTTTCGAAGACAAAAGATAGAAATAAACCTATTACCATGCAGCAGAAGGTAGACTACACTAGGCAAACCATAGTCAAGTATTCAATGAAGTGAAAGCACATTGACTAATAG